CGACTTGGGCACAAGTGCATTCATTTCAGGTGGTCTAGATTGCCTCATCTCTTAAGGCAACCCCCAGTGCCTGACTTAGCACTTAGGAGGCTAATTCTAGAGCTAGAGAAAAAGACTACTTGACCAAACCCATGTAGCAAATGCTGGGATACCCTGCATTTGGTGAAAATTAAAATGTCCCATATAGCTATGTCAGGAAACCAGGGAAGGGCTGTCTAGGGCTAGGCACAGTCACAGAAGCCAATTAGACAAGTGACTGCAAAGGAGCTGGCTCCTGGGGGTCAGGTGGACCACCAGAGCTCAGTTGTTGTTTGCCTCCACAAAGGGCTCTTCCTGCCCTGCTACTTCTGGTCTCCTCTGTGAGGCCAGAGAAACATACTGGAGGCCTCTCACAGAAAACTAATGAGGACTCATGAACACCAGTTCCAAAGCTTCAAGTTAGGCAGCGGCTGAAGGCATGCTCAAGTGGTAGAGCACCTGCCTAGCAAGCACATAGGCCCTGAGTTCAAACCCTAGTAGTACCTTAAAAAAAAAAAAATCAGTCATTCAATAGCCTTCAAGTGCTTTAAAATATCCTCTGCCATTTGTGGAAGCAATTGGGAGGTATCATGATAGAATCCGACTATAACTTTTCATGGGGCCAAAGGCTTCACTCAGCCTTTGTCACACATTGATGTGTGACAGCACATAGTCCTGCTCTCAATGTCCAGCACAGTGCAAGACGCCATTCCCCTGGGTCCCCTGCAGCCCACGCATGGTCCAGATCACCCACACTGAAGGAGAAACGTGGGGAAGAGCTGGGCATTTGCACATTTATTACACCCAGGGCCAGGGGTTAACCTAACTGACTCCCCCTCTCTAAAGCTCCCTCCCCTTGGTCCTTATGTATATCCCACTCTCCTTCCAGGACCACTTCCTCCAGGAAGCTCGCCTGCTGACCCTAGGCCACCTCTCTGCCCCCAGCTTCCCTCCAGGGTGGTTCATCCCACACAGGCACATCTACTCCCTCCTAACTGTGTCTGTGTCCATCGGTTGTTCTTTCTATAGCACATGAACTGAGCCCCTTGTTACCTCTAAGGCTCTGAGTTAAGCACCTCAAGAGTATTTTCTCAATCATCCTCCCAGGACCTGCGACACGGCATTAGGGTTCTTCTCCTACAGATGGGAAGAGACCAAAGCAGGGAGGAAGGTCTTTGCCCCTAGTGGTCCAGCTGTTTAATCAAGGGAGCAAGGGAGAAAGGGAGGAAGGGCTGCCTGTAACTAGGCTGGTTCTCGGCATCCAGAAGGGCCTGGCAGGAGCATCCACAACCTGTCCCAGGGTGCCTGCTGTCCGGGAGTACCAGGGAGCCCAGCAGCAGTGGATGGTGAGGATGTAGTGATTCTGCAAAACTCTAAAATGAGCCTAAGTCCAAAAAAAAAAAAAAACACACAGCAATGCGCAATTCCTTGCTCTGAAGAGTCAGAGGAAATCAAAGCAGAAGTTATACCCAGACAAAGGGCTCTGTAGTTCAGTCTTGCATAAGTCACTTTACTGGGGGCCTTGGTGTGTCAGGGACTGCTGTAATAATGGGGACAGAGGTGAAGAAGACAGATGAGGTCCCTCTCATGCACCAAGGCAGGCGAGAAATAATACACAAACACATAATAACGTAATAATACCTGGGCGCCAGAGGCTCACACTGTAATCCCAGCTACTCAGGAGACAGAGATCAGAAGGATCGAGGTTTGAAGCCAGCCCAGGCAAATAAATAGCTCCATGAGACCCTATCTCAAAAAACCCTTCATAAAAAAAGGGCTGGTGGAGTGGCTCAAGGTGAAGGCCCTGAATTCAAGCCCTAGTACTGTACCAAAAAAAAATAATAATGTAATATATACACAAATAAACAATAAACAAAACACAGACAAGAAAGATCACTGAAATGTAGAAAACTAAGGCAGAGTGATATCCATTAACACACTCCCAGCTCCTTTGGATAGGACAGCCCTGGGAGCCTCTAGATGGAGTTTTAAATCTGACAATCAGAAAGGAAGTAACAACTGGTGTAAGGTCCCCTGGATGTCAGCCAGGGCTGTCCAAGAAGTGAAAGGGCAGGAGTCTGGGGGGCAGGGCAGAAGTCCTGGAGGAGGGTGGGAGGATAGAGAGAAAGGCGAAAGCCTGGTGAGGCCTGGGGAAGAGGCAGGCTGGGCCAGTGCAGATGGTTTTCATTCCAACACATTGGGGGGCCTTCTGGGGGTTCTAGGAGGAGGATGCTGTGATTTGACACAGGTTTTCAAAGGACCTTGGCTTCTTTACAGCCTGGGATTGCATGAGTGGGCACCAGAGCCAAGTGGCCTCCTGTAGTGTCCAGGGACAGGTGAGAAAGTTGAGGAGGACAGATGGATTTCAGACATATTTCCATCTAGAGAAACGAGAGTCATGAAGGATTGGAGAGCAAAATCAAGGTGATCTCTGGAGTTGTGACCCTGCCATAGGCAGAGGTAGGGAGAACCCCACTCACTCACATTCAAGATGAGCTGGGCAGCAAGGGAAGAGCTTTGTCCCCCTCTTCCCTGAAATTTCTGGATGCCAGGCTTCTGCCTGCTGCCATCTGCCCCTCTCGGAGAGCGCAGCTCAGTCCTATCTGGCTGCATCAACAGACATAGACCCTGCCCCACTTGCAGAAGAAAGGAATGCATTGGAAAGATGGAGGAGCAGGCTCACAGCCTGGGGAAGGGAGGGGCTGGCACTCCGAGTCTCCACTGCAGGTGGCAATGAAGGAGTGCTTCCCCTGTGAAGAACACCCCCAAGAAAGGTTGGCAGACAACAATCCACATGTCCCAGGTCTCCCTGGCCAAACACGATCACAGCAGGACATTTTAGACCTCAGAAGTCTAGGAGAGGGAATGGATGCTGATTTGTCAAAGCTGGCTGTGGACCCAGCTCCGGGCTCTATTTTCAGATGCTTTGGATGTAGGAATCCTGGCTCTGGAGCTGTGGAATGGGGACACATTAATTATCTTCTCTGTGCCTCAGTTTCGCTCTCTGGGAACATTGTGTCTACCGTAGAGAGATGGTATAAAGACAAGATGTAAGATGTTTAAAAGGGACTCTGACATCTGAAAAATATTCAATAAACATTACTGCTATTGCTAGCTTCGTATGCCTGTCATTCTTCTCAAAGCAGCAGGGACAGAGGGGAAGGAGCACATTGGAGACTCTGAGCCCACATGTGAATATCCTCCAGCTTCCTACTAACCCGTGGCTGTGCAGGAAGCAGGATGTTTACAGATGGTTGGGATCCAGAATGCAAGTTCTTGTGCCCAGAGCTGGTGGGGGTCAAGAGCAGCATCATACATCTATCTAGTTCAAGTCCTGTTCAGCTGCTCTGTGCTGATTAAAGACCCATTCTCCGTAGCCAGAGTTCTCATGGTAAGATGCTCACTTAGCACCTCCAACCCCAGGTGGCTGACAAAGTAAGGGACCTCAGCTCTAAATGACCCTCCCCACCAGCTTCTCCCAAAACAGAAATAAGGATCCCTGTAGTTACAGGATCTCTGGCATCCTGGGGCTCCAAGGAGGAATGTGGGAGAGGGGCTAGAAGGAGGAGTGAAGAGGGACTGAAGGGGCTTCTAGAGAGAGGGGTGCTGGAGCCCCAGGGCGAGGGGCTACAGGAAGGACAGCCACCATAAAGGCAGCACTGGGGAAGGGAAAAGGTTGGGTGGGTCTGGGCTCCCTGCTGTGGGAGGTGGGAGGAGCTGAGGGAGGCTGGGAGCTGCAGCCCAGCCCTCACTTCTGTACAGATGAACGAAGAAAACTACTTTGCTAACTCTCGGAGCCGTCCTCAAATGAAAGAAGCCAGGTGCCACTGCTAAATGCAGTAGTTCCCAAAGATCTCAGGACAGAATTAGGGAAACAGCACCACAGGGTGGGGCTCAGCTGTGTTTGGGATCATGCCTGTGACATCACCAATACCATTTACAACACCCATTCCATGAGCAGGGCTGTGGCAGGGCCAAATCAGTAGCCAATCAATAGTCATACATGCCCCAACATCCCTAGGCAGAAGATCATGTGCTCATTAACTGGGGAGAGGAGAAGGGACAGTCCCCTTGGGAACTGAGACACCACTCAACATGGCTGATCAGCATTGTATGCAAGGTCAGAGCCAGAGAAGGGCAAGAAAAAGAAATAAAAATGTAAGAATTGGAAAGGAAGAAATCAATCTTCTGAATAATTTGATTGTTTAGGACAAAAACCCCAAAGGATCTACAGGAATCACTAGAATTAAAAAGTGTGTATGACCCGTTTGCTGGATAAAGGTCAAAATTCAAAAATCAGGGCTGGTAGAGTGGCTCGAGTGGTAGAGTGTGCCTAGCAAGCGTGAAGTTCTGAGTTCAAACCTCAATATTGCCAAAAAATCAAAAATCAAAAATCAACTATATGTCTGCACACTAGCAACAAACAGAAGATTATCCTTGAGTATATCATTTATTATGACACCGGAAATATATGAGAAGTTCAACAAAGATGTGCAAGATACTATGTAGCAAAATACAAAGCAGCTTTTAAAAATGTGAAGGAGAGCTAAATAAATAGAGCTATACCACGTGTGTGATTGGAAAACTCATTATCATTAAGTTGTAAATTCTCTAAATTTGCCCTGTAAATTCAGTACAACTCCAGTCACATTTCCATCGTGTGTGTGTATGTGTGAAACTTGACAAGCTGATTCTAAAATTCGTGAAAATGGAAGAGCCAGAACATTCTGGAATGTCCTAGTGGGTATCAAGATTTATTAAAGGCTTGGGAATTAAGCCAGAATGGAAGCACAAGTTAAAAAGGAAAATCTACTGATGAAACAGGCTAGAAAGCCCAGAATGACATCATTCCTT